ATGCCCCTAAACCATTCTATAAGAAATTCTGGGGTCATCAATTTTAGAACCCTACCATATTTTCACTTTCTTGTCACCTCTCTGTGGCTTTGGATGCTGATGCAAGTTCTGGCTTTTCCCTACAGGCAATTTTGTTGTTGATTCTTTAATTCAGTGGATTTTGGCCATACTTCTATACTTCATCTTAGCCAAAAGGCTGAAAAGCGATGGCCATACTTCTGAGAGCCTACCTTATTCTAGCCATCAGCTCCCACCTAAGTAGGCAGACTGGGCAGAGCCTAGGGAACCTGGAGGTGAGAACTGCTAAGTGAGAATGGATCTCCTGGAAAGACAATGTACTTACCCAAACAAAATCCAAGGAGAAGATTCTGTTGGTCAGAAATAAGTCTAAGGCTAGGAAGCCCCCTGTAAACCAGGCTGAAAATCAAAGATAGATTTATATTTGGGTAATGGGAGTGGGGTGGTGTGGTAGTTGGGTGGGGAGACAGTTTCAGAAACCAGGCTGATTAGATTCAGTGTTTGGGTCTGATTTAGAAAGATCACATTAAAAAGTAGAGTCAAGTTGTATTTCCTAGAGGGTCAGACCTAATGCAGCCAAACAAGCCGATTACATCAGAGCTATCTTTTATTCATATTAATCCACCAGTGGTTCATTGCAATCCTGCTTTTAGTGGAGAGAAGCACTAGGTGTCTCCTGCCACTGTTACAGTAGAAGAGTTAAAAGAGTTTTTCTTTAGGCCAGATTCACTATGGCCAGTTGCCAATCTCGAGCTAGCTGTTAGATGTATCAGGCAACTTCAGGAGGTACTACCTTTTTGCTGGAAAGCTCCCTTCACTCTGAGAAAATTATAAAACAACTTTCAGCCATTTGTGAACACAACGTTTAGTTTCATAGACTTGTCTCTGCTGCTAAAGTACTTGTCACCCTTAGGTACCTTGTTTGCCACAGTTGCCTGCCTCTCTGCCTCTCCCCCCCCACAAATGTATGTTGAGGTCATGGAGCCAGAACCTAAAGGAAGTGACTTAAGCATGACTAAGAAGAAAATTGGTGGCTAAGTTAATTGTGAGTCAGTTTAGGATTTTTGGAATGATTCAAACAAGTAGAATTAGGAAGACCATCAGCCTTGGTGTAGTTAGATTCTCACAGCTGTTGTCCTCCTTTTCTGAATTACCTATTTTGTCTCATCCTGGGATATCATGATAAAATTATATCATGCGACTTCATTATGGGGTGGGGATGGTAGGTGGAGACTGAATGGTAGGTATCTCACACTTCTGTAGCCTGGAATTTCCTGAAGTGTTATAAGTGCCCAATAAACCTGGAAACTGTAAAATCTTTGTGTGCTATTATAAAGATGAAAATTATGAAACATTTTAAATTAGAAAATTTGGATGGACAAAAAGAATAGAAATTGCACAGACCTGCCAAAGATTTTTTTCTCTAAAGATAATTTAAAAATTGCAAAAGTTCAGGATAATTTTAAAGCCTTCTTTAAATTTTTTAAAATTATGGAGTCACTTTTCAAATTCAGAAAGTAGGTACGTGATCAGAAGAGTTTTCAATAGCTGTATAATTTAGCTACTTCTGTCATTGGAATCACCAGCAAAGCAATTAAATTAAGCAGGAACTTTGGAAGGTAAAAGTTAACCTTAGGGGTGTCTGGGTGGCTCAGTTTGTTAAGCGACTGCCTTTGGCTCAGGTCATGATCCCAGGGTCTTGGGATCAAGCCCCACGTTGGGCTCCCTGCTCAGCAGGGAGCCTGCTTCTCCCTCTCCCTCTTCCTGCCGCTCCCCCTGCTTATGCTCTCTCTCTATCTCTCTGTCAAAAAGATAAATAAAATCTTTTAAAAAATTAAAAAATAAAATAAAAGCTAACCTTAGTTATTTTATATAGCTTAGCTATTTTACATAGGTTTTTCTGTACAATGAAAAGACATTTGATTAGGAAAGATAAATGTCCAGATTGGAATTTAGAAATGCAGATTCATTAAATTTGATTTTATTTTAAAGGCTAAGTAGGAAACACCTACTTTGTTATTGTGAAGAGGCTATTATGTTTAAATATTCCTCTTAGATTTTTACTATCCAGAAGACTCAGTATATATATACATATATATATATATATATGATGGTGGGAGCTTTCTCCCTCACAAAGAGCATCCTAATGGAGATGTATGACTGTGCCATTGCTATTGCTGATGTGAATATTTGCCTCAAAATTTAAGCCTGTGGCTCTAGAAACTGCTATAAATACTCTAAAATAATAATATTGTGAGTATTTATGTATTATTTTAAGGTATTTTTTTGTTTTTATTCTATGTATACTAGAAAAATGACTTATAATTTGCATAATTGTGGTAATTGGCTAAAGCTGTTGAAATGTGAGGTTTCTAAAGTCAATAAGAAGAGCAAAATGGATGTGATCGTTTGTGGCATTCTTGGTTTGAAATAGTTTTGATGTAATATTATCATTTCATATGTTTAAGTGGTTTTAATGTTGTCACTATAATGGCACCAAATTAATACATTCACACAATACGTAAAAATGCACTCAGTGCCACAAATTCTCCTGCTGCTACATTTATTTATAGCAATGTACACTGCTTAATGTGTGCTTTTATTTGAAAAGCATTTTTATACATGTTGCCATTTGCACTTCTTCTTTGAGTGTAGCCGAAATCTTGCACCACCCTTCAGTATGAGAGATCATCAAAGCAATTAGCTTAGAAGTACTCCATTTACCAAAGGATTAAAACTATTTTTGAAAATTATGGGTAAGATGGTTTAGAGATTATCTTAGGTCAGGTTCTATAGAAGCAAAGCTGAGACAGGAATTGTAAGAACAAGTGGTTTGTTGGGCAATGCTCTCAGGAGAAGGATGTTAAGGGAAGAAAGAAAGAGGAGGGGAAAATGGCTCTGCATGGAGGTGATCTCAGTGGAAATGGGTTGCCGTTTGCCCCCACAGTGAAACTCTAGAGCATGAATGGTATCGCAGAGTTGGTTCCATCATGAGGCAAGTGGGTTGGCCTTCTGTTCCCCCATGTCAGCCAAACCTTGGTTGCAGCTGCCCTCAAAAACGGGTAGGACAGAAGCCTCCTGGGTGAGGCAGTTCCCATTCGGTCCGGGGCAATTCTCCAGAGAAGGGAGGTGCATCTGTGTATTATCAGCATCTTGGTGATGGGACTTCTAGCTAATAAGGGAGATCTGGCATGGTACCGACAGCATCCACTGAATAGATGAATGGCAACTTAAAAAAATGGACAATTTATTGGACCTCAATTCTGTTACTTTCCCCTCCTCAGCACACACCTGGCCACATATATCCACATTTGTAATCAAATAAAGGTGGAAAGTCAAACCATGTTCAAGTCCCTTTGATTAGAGAAACAGTTTAAAAGCATAAATGAAGACTTGGACCTCAGGTCTATTCTTTTTTGTTACTTGTGGTGTAATAATAGAGAATTTAAGTGGCTAACTCTGCTATTAAAATGCATTTTTGTTATCGTGAACAAAAATGAGTTCGAGAGAGGACCGTAGGTATTATACATGAAGACTTGAGGGTGTTTTTAATGCCAAGTACACTCAGGCAAATGTTTCCACAGGCTTAATACCCCTATATGAAATGCTTTGTTGGCAGAAGTCTTTGACTGTCTATACATTCATAACTGATTCAGACAGAAGCAATACACTCATTGTGTTCAATGAATGAATTCATCTCAAATTATTTCTCTGCAATAGATTATTATGTCATACAGAAGAACTGTGGAGTATGCTTCTTCCTGGTAGAATACCTTCAACCCTCTTTTTCTTCCCATTATAGAGCTGTTAGTGAAGATTATCTTCTTTGAAAGATAATTTTTTCTTTCTTGCTACTTACCAGAATAATGAAATGCTATACAAAAACTAGGTAACCTTGTATGAGGACAGTGGAATTCCCATTAGTATCACTGATTTAGAGAGGCTTTTATTCTATTTTAAATTGTCAAATATTTTTCAAGGGCATAGAAGACATATTATGAAAAATTCTTTGACTTGCACAATTAACTTTAAAGTAAAAGATCATTGATATAGTAGAAATAAACAATAGCAAGTCTCCATCTTGGATCAAAAAAATACTTGTTGCTAATAATATTCGCTCTGATTGCATCTGTATTTGATTATTCCAATTTATTAAACAAGAATAACAATATGCAAATAAACCCAGAATAATAAAGAGACATTAATTCAGTTTAGAGTTCAAGCTGATATTGCAACCTTTCCACTCCGCATAGGGCTTTTTGCTAATACCTTACATAGAACACAAACTAGGCCAGTGCCTAGGAATGTCCTGAAATGAAAAAGACATTTTGGAGCAGGGTGGACATGTTATTAGGTAGGGCCTTGAAGAGAGCTCCTATTTACAAATGATTTCTTCAGTGATCTGAAATTTAATGCCATTGATAATCTTCTTACTAACATTATCTAGTCTAAATCCCACAAAGCGAGAAGTTGAGAGGGTAAAGTAAATGATAATTTTAGGCTTGTTTTAAAGTGAAACCTTAAGTAAGTGCTTTCCTCAGGCCTTAATTTCCTCTGTGTAATTGTTCATTTAACTGTCTACATTTGTGTTTTCCTCCAGGAATAAAAATTCCTTTTTAGTCTGTATGTCTTAATGATTTATTTCCCAGTGTTTGTTTATTTCACTCATTGGTTGTGATTTTTTAAATATTCTTATAGGGAAGATAGAATAAATATTTTAAAAATATTATGTCACTTGGCAAACTTCTTGAAATTATGCCTGGAACTCGTGGCAAGACCAATAAAGGACTGAAGAACCCATTGTATTAGAATTTAGAACCTTTTCTATAGCAGACATATAATTTGGCTAATGTATTTTAAAAAACCAACCCCAGACTTCATTTTATGTAATCAGTACCATTTGCTAATAGTTTGAGCAGTTTGAGTTCCCTCAAACTCCCTGATTGCTTAACAATGTGTTGTGACATTTTTATTGCTTCCAGAAACTTCCAGTTAAGTGAGGAAGACCACTGGATTTACCAGGCTGTTTTGGATCAGTATCCTGGAGATCTCTGTGGCAGAAGAACTCTGTATCTGAACATGTTACAAAGATATTTTCCTCACAAATCCAGGCATGATTTGGTGAGTGCTGGACCCTATATAACAGCACATTAAATTGCTTTAGTGGTCAATGATTACTAGGCAAAATTTATATTTTTAGGATGGTGCTCTAAAAATTATTTTTTTCCTACACTCTAGCAAATAATAGGATCATAGGTTGAAAGTCTCTAATTTTTCAAGTCATATGGTCCATAAGAAGGTGGAGAACCACTCAAGCAACATTTATTCTTCTATGCTTACTTTCCCCAGAGATCTTTACTGTGACTTCCTGAATTGCTCTGCCAGTATTTGACCTCTGGGTGTCTGGGCATTCACCTGCCCGCCCTCAGAGGTTCTAAAGTCTCTAGCTCTTGCCTACAAGTGGGGTGCCTATTCATCTATCTGCAGAGCCTGCCACACCCAGCCCTTCTAGTCATAGGGAAGCCAGCACTTGCCTTGGGGGCTGTTGCCTACCTATATCATCCCCACAACAACAACTCCACTTGATCCCCCTAGATGGGTCTGAAACACAAATGCCCCAAATTAGAACTCAGAGTCATGACTGAAATTTCCCTGAGAAGGACCTGGGAAACTACTGGTTCACTCTTTAGTTCGTAAGGCCACAAAGACAAGAAAACAGAAGTTACCATGTCACCAATTAACTTTACAATGACTCACCTTAAAACATATATGTAGACAAACACATGTGAACTCTTAACTTTAAATGGGCCAGGCTATAAAATATCATCATATACTCTGCATTTTTGTAATTATTTTAAATTAAGCAAGTAACAACAATACCGACACGTGTATAGAATTTACCTTATGTCAGTCATGTGTAAACTCCTATAACATGCATAACAGTGGATGAAAGAGTACTATTTTTATTCTGTTTTACAGATAAAGAAACTGAAGCAAAGGTCACACATCTAGTATGACCATCCTCTCTTATCCCCCAGTCCTTCACCCAACAATTACTTATTTTAATTTTGATCTTTATTTTATAGCAGATACCTGTTATGTAAAAAACATGCTATATAATAAATAATTTGCTCTAGATTTTTTAAGTTTTAATTTATTAAACTAGATCTTTCTTTTTATTCCCTGTTGATTCTCTTTGTTTCTGTGACCAGCTATCAATTTTAATTTTGTAATTTTTTGTATTTACCTATTAACGTGATAAAGATTTTTATACTCACTTCTTATATTGGGTTGATTAGTATGCATTTCTGCATGGTGTATGCTTCCTTTCTTAGTGTTTGACAGATTTTAAGTATATTTTTGGCTTTTGGGGAACAAAGCTCAGAAGTTTCCAGAACATATTTTAGTAGCTGATATTTGGTTTCATTGAATCCATAGCCTGTTTCATCATGTACCTAATTAACCCATACCTAGACTATTATTTTAGGACAACCTTATCCTGCTTGCTAGATTCTTTTCTTACACCACTTAGGGGTTAAATAAGGTATCAAATTCAGAGATGTGGTCTATACTGGCAAGATAAGGAATTATGTAGGTCACTGGCTCTCAATTTCAGGAGACACAAGTTTATATAAGGAGCATTTCAGAATCACCTGCAAAGATTTTTCAAACGACTCAGGCAATCTCCATTCCTGTTCTTCCCCTCAAGACTAAGATCTCTTGTGGTTGGGATTCACTGCCAACAGGAACTACCAGTACCCATGTGAGAATATCATGTCCATCAGGACAATAGGATGGGAAGAACTAATATCACCGCTGTAATTCCTTCAAGTTTAGACATCCTAACACCTGAATATTTCAGTAACCAAGGACAAACTGAGTTTTGGGGATTATGATAGCAATTTATGTTTATTAGCATGTATCTAAGTGAAGCACTTGAAGTAATTGTTAAAATACCCAAACTAATTTAAAGATGGAGTATCTTTGAAATCATATACAGGGGTAGTAATTCTTTCTGTGAATAGATTCACTGCCATGTATACATGGAAGGTGTTTTAGGGCCACCTAATCAGACTCCGTCCCATACGAGGAAACTAAGGACTTAGAAATATTAAACAACTGGTCCTTAGTCACCGGTTAGCCACAGGCTCAGAATTCTGGGACTGGTACCTGGTCCTGGTTGCTGCATTCACTATTAAGCTGTTTGTCCCCAATTTTTCAAAATTATTGGTTATAATTCATTTTATTCATTTTGGTAACAACACCATAAAGTATAGGCTCAGTTTCATAATAAGTGTTTGCCATCTGTTATCTTTTCAGGTGGAACATGAGAAATATTGTGATCAATATCACTTTGCCAGGGAGCAACGAAGGATCCTGATATCAAATTGGAATAAGAACAGGAGAGACTTTATCCAGAAGGCTGTGCTGACCCTTGCCGAGGCCTGTGCAGCACACACAATGGAGGACACGTTGGCTAAGGACAGGAGAAAGCAACAGGAACTGTGTGCTCATCTGAAAGCCAAGGTGAGATGCTCTGCTGACGGTGTTTCAGGATTTTCCCTGGCATTCATTTAAGAACCCAAACCCAACCTAAAGTTCAGTTTCTCTAAAAATTTTATTTTGGATAAAATTGTTAGTTTGAACCATATGAAATCGCAATTGTTTTAGATCAACAGTAGTCAACAATCAACAATTTCATATGGTTCAAGTTTATGTCTGTTTAAGACAGGTCAATGTTGAAGTCTGGGTTGAGCGATAGCCAATACAAACTACAAATACCGCACGCCAGAGAGAGGTGCTGGATGAAAATGCAGAATGTAATGATAGAGTGAAGCCTGATGGCTTTATCTGGTTCAAACACTCTTGGACCTCTCATTCACATTAAAGATGTAAAAAAAGGTAAAATTATAAAGAGGAGAGAGGATTTGTGAAGAGATATGTTGGGGAGAGCTTGATGGGCAAAGTGAAAGGTGGAGTGGATGGGGTGTGTCTCTTCCTCAGACCCAGTGAGGGGGCCCCCATAACCTTGGAGGGGTTAGTGGGGAACCCCTGCAGTTGGAGCTTGAGGATTGGTGTCTGATGGTCACAGGGAACTAGAGGCGCTGCCTCCATGGCAGAACTGAAAACAGAGATGGCTGCTGTGTTGGGAATAATCCCAGACTGGTTACTGGTGCATGCGTCCTGGAGGTCCCGTGTGGATATAGCCTCCCTTGGAGTGTTGGCTGGACCATTAAACAAATTGTATTGAGGTACAGCATATCTACAGTAAAGTATACAAATCTTTATTTTTATTATTTTTAAAATAATAATAAATAAATAAAAATAATAAATAAATAAATAAAAATAATAAATAAATAAAATTTATTTGACGGAGAGAGAGAGAATGAGAGCACAAGCAGGGAGAGCAGCAGGCAGAGGGAGAAGCAGGCTCCCCACTGAGCAGGGAGCCTGATTCGGGGCTCGATCCCAGGACCCTGAGATCTTGACCTGAGCTGAAGGCAGATGCTTAGCTGACTGAGCCACCCAGGCGCCCCTACAAATCTTTACTTATTGATAAATGACATGGTAGGAGAATGATGGCACAACAAGAAGTTTTATTTTATTGGTAGGAAAAAAAATAACCTGCAATTAATAGTTATACCACAGCAATTAACAGCATGTAAAAAGAAATGTCTCTTTTAAAACATTAGAGGAAAAATGTCTGCTTTGCATTTTTTTAAACAAAAAGATATTATTTTGGGCATTGCATAAGCTTGGGACCTAGAAGGAATAGAAATTGCATCAAGCCTGAACTACCTATGGTGGGCTACAGAGCTAATGCACATTTCATGAATTTCAAGCAGAGTCCCCACTGAGTACGGAGCCCGGATGGGCTGAGGGGCTCCATTTCACGACCTTGAGATCACAACCTGAGGCAAAACCAAGAGCTGGCCACTCATGTAGGGCTTCTTTTCTTATTTCTTAGACCTGTGTAACATAAGAATATTCCTCGGCTCACCTCCCCTGACCCTGATCTTTTTTATGAGCTTTCTGTGGAGAAAAGCCTGTAAGGGGTTATAAATTCCCTTCTGTCTGTAACTTTCATGGGTTCTATACTCTCTGCTCTATGACAACAGCAAATTATAAAAATTTAACTATTGACTCATTACAGAGTATTAGCTACAATCTTCCTACCCACTTATATGGTGGCCTTGTCTTTTCCAGGTTCTCTTTCTCAAGTAAGCTAGTTCCCGTATTGCCTTTCTCCTTGCAAACATCTGCCTTTCTTTAAATCTCAGGCTTATTTGCCCTGTGGCCTCAGTCCTCTGATGGGTTTGAGAAAAGTTCTGATACAGCTTTTCCTTGTGCTTAATTTGGGAGGCGACATTCTTTCCAGCTTCTTACATTCTAAATGGAACCTGGAAGGTCCTCATGAAATACTATTTATCAATCTTGTATGTGCCCTGCTTAAGAAATCATTGCCTAGTAGCACAGGGTCATTTTCAAAGGCAGCCTGTCTGAGCTTTTTCTTCCCAATAGGACTCCTGCTAATGGGGAGGGACCCCCAAAAAAGTGGGGTGGAATAGCACTAATTGGGAACCTGATAGGTGGAAGAGAAGCAGTTAGACAAAGGAAAATGTAAGTGATCCACATCAGGGGAATGTTTCCAGGAATGTTTCCCAGCTGGCAATCAAGGCAACAAAACTGGTAGGAGGGCAAGAATCAGCATTAACCACCTGCAAGGTTTACTTGGGGACAGCATCAGTCACCAGGCTAATGACAACTCTGCTGGCCTCTCCTATACATCTTGTCCCCTTTTCCTTCCTCCCCATGGACTCTGATGGTCTAAGCATCTAGGGAATGAAAGGAGAGGTCATCATCTGAATAAAGAAGGAAGAGTTGATTAATCTCTTGGAACTGGGCAATTTGATTTTGAATCAAGACTGTATTTTGTGACTTACAGTGACTGTAGGACCCTGTGAAACCCAAGGGTTAGCCATGGGTTCTGCTTAGTTTTCATCTAGTGGCAGGAGAAATATCTAAATGGGGGACAAGAATAATGCTGTGTTTTGATTATTTCCCATGTATCATGCTGTTCAGTGTATTGGGTATACTCTATGAAGTGTTCCCACATCTCAGGCATTCTAATAGATACTCTATAGGCATTTTATCATATTATCCTCAGTGACAAATCTGACATGTGCAGGGGTTGCTGTAGAGTACCCACCCACGGAAATCAGGGGCTTGGTTTCTGAAAGCAATATAATATGGCATCTCCTCAGAGACCCATGGTCACAAGATGGTGAACAAATATCTCTGAACTTTTGGAGATGAAGCCTCCAAAGAGTAAATATGAAACAGAGAATGGTGGAACATAAAGTAAATTGTGATGCAAAATGGATTCTATTTCCCATAGAGATGGTGTTATCACTGGAGTTTGTGTTCCTGATCAAGGACTGAGGCTCAATAAATTATAGCTTGAAACAAAAGTATATCATAAAGGAAAAGGAGTAATTCTATCATTTCTACAGTAATTTAAAATATTAAATTATGCTCAACTTTTTTACCTGGAAGGAAACTTGGAGATTTATCCCCATCCTTCATTTTACGAGTCTAAAAGCTGAAGTCCTGAAAGATAAAGGGACTTCCCTAAGGTTCATGCCAGCTCATTTGATTTGAAATTCAATATTATCTCGGGCCTACACAGCTTTGCATACAAGAATCTTACAAAATAATAGAAGATATTTATTATACTGGGAGCCCCAATGCACTATAAAATAGACCCACAGAATGTGAAAAATATTACTTCATGTATCATAAATTTGACCTTTCTAAAACTAACATGCTAGCTATAATAAACATTAATTAAACGTTTAACCATAATTTTGTTCTTAGTCTTGGAATTTAAGAAGGCTTTTGGGGGATGATTTACATCATTCATGCCTTTTAAGAAAAGTGTTAAAGGAATTTTGAAATAATGAATTTCCTCACTCTCTTTCTCTCCTTCTCTATTTAATTTTGGTTTTCTATCAGTAACGGATGCTATAGCAAGTAGGGGACTCTCACCAGAGTGGTGAGACAAAAGCAGGGAAGTAGAACTCTCATTCTGCTACCACAAAGCTCACTCTTTGATCCCCGAAAATCTCTCGGACTACCAGACCTTCCCAAGCATCCAGCCTAAACCACTCTGTTAGCTGTGCACTTGATTTTTTGGCATGCTTGTCTATACCATGGCTGGGGAACTTCATTCCCAGATCTGTCTTACAGTTGTCTTTCTCTGCATCCATGCTCAATGGCCAAGTGCTACTAAGGAAAAGTCAGCTTTACCTGGACTCGCAATGCCACATGAGAGGCCTTAGTCCTATCCTTAGTTCACCAATTCTCCCCATTCCTCTTATGATTGTTTCAAAAGGTCACCAGTTCTTTCAATACCCTTAACCTAATGCCATACACCATCCCTCTCCAGCCCCCAGGAGACAACCCACCTCTATTTTATCAATAAAATGAAGTCATGGAGTTGTGAGATAGATCCCTAATTCCTGCCCCACCCTATGTCTTTATGTCTCCCGCTAGTCCCCCCACTTTCTTCCTGATGCAAGATTCAATGCCTTCTATGTGCTCATATCCAGTCCTTCCCCCAGCGTTTGGACTCTAACCCATTTAACCACTTTAGGAACTTGGTTCTGATTATCTCCTTTTATTACTATTTTTCTTTCTTATCCCAGGATTTCTCCCAGCCTATAAATATGGTTAAGTTTTTCTTATTCAAATCAAACCTTCTCTTAGGGTGCCTGGGTGGCTCAGTCAGTTAAGCATCTGCCTTCGGCTCAGGTCATGATCCCAGGGTCCTGGGATCAAGTCCTGCATCAGGCTCCCTGCTCAGCAGGGAGTCTGCTTCTCCCTCTCCTATACCCCTCCTCCCTGCTTGTGTTTTCTCTCTCTCTCATGCTCTCTCTCTAAAATACATAAAGTATTAAAAAAACAAAAAAAACCCTTCTCTTGACTCTAGCTCTTGGGCAGTCCCTAATCTCTATCCTTTTCTTTGAAATCAACCATTTGAAAGAATAATCTATATTTTCTCAGGACTTCTGACCTCTCTGCTCTACCAATATCCTCTCCTGTCTCCAAGGTCACCAGTGACCTCTCAATTATCTAATCCCGTCAGTGCTCCTCCATCCTTATGCTAGTAGACCTCTCTGCTTCATTTCTCATTGTTGACCATGTACTCTTTGTTCTAAAATATTATTTCAGCTTCTAAAATATTATTCTGTTTGCCATATCTTAGTCTGCCTGTGTATTTGTCATTGTCTGCACAATCCTAAAACCCTGGTATCCTCAAGTTTTCTGTCCTTGCTCTTTGCTCTTCTCTCACTACTTCACTGGCTCCTAACCCCACTTATGTTTTTACCTATCTTTATACAATAATTACTCTCAAATCTTTTTTCCCATCCCTGAGTAGCTCTCTCTTGAGCCTCATTTATCCATCTACATACTGATTATATCAACTTAAAAGTCTACAGATTCCTCAAAGTCAGTGTCCAAAA